GCAGCAGAGACTTGGCTGGAGTTCTTTAGGAATAAGGTAGTGTCATCTGCAAGCTGACTAATCAGGATTTCTCTGCCCGCTATAGATATCCCTTGGATGGCACTTCTTCTGATATGACAGGTGAGGAGTTGCATACACAATAGAAACAGAAATGGAGAGGCCGGACAGCCTTGGCGCACTCCTCGATGTAGGGAGAATCTTGGAGAGGTGCCATTTCTCAGTTTGATGGAGCTATTGCCATTGGCAAACATAGTCTTAACAATTTTACAAAAGAAATCACCAAATCCGAATTGCTCCAAAGAGCGAAAAATGAACTCATGTTTGACCGTGTCAAATGCCTTATAGAAGTCCAGAAATAGGAGGTAACTATTGTCAGAGCAGAGAAATGAGTAATCAATCATATCTAGGACGAGCCTGATATTATTAGAAATGTGTCTTTTACTCATAAAACCGGATTGAACCTCATCAATAATTGGGTCGAGTACACCTTTGATTCTCCTAGCTATAATGGAAGCAAACGCTTTATAGTCGTTATTTAATAGAGAAATGGGTCTCCAGTTTTCATTGAAGGTATGATCTCGTTTAGGTTTTGGTAATCAAAGTAATCAATCCCTGTGTTAAAGAAGGGGGAAGACAACCTTTCTCGATGCTTTCTAAAAAAACTTCAAGGAGAAATGGAGCTAAGTCTTTTACGGAGGTTTTATAAAATCGTTTAGGTTTTGGTATTAAAGTAATCAATCCCTGTGTTAAAGAAGGGGGAAGACAACCTTTCTCGATGCTTTCTAAAAAAACTTCAAGGAGAAATGGTATTATATTGAGGTTTCCCGTGTTGATTACTTGTAAAAGGAAATGACCTGCTTTATCGCATACAGAATGTAAAATACTCCCAGAGAACTGGTGTTTCAGCGTAGCGACCCCTGCTGAGTGTTCAGATCCATGTGCCAACCATAAATCGTTGCCCCATTGAGCTTTCCATAACCGCAAATCGTTAGTGATCGAGTGGGATTCCTGAAGAAAACAAAAATCATTTCTGTGCTGCTTA